TACCACCTGAAGATATAAGAACAAAGAACATTTAAGTGAAATATTCAGCTTAGTTTGCCAGAATTTAATGGAAGAAAGCATAACACAGTATGCATGTAATCCACCAAAGCTTTGCAAAATTATATTTTCGAATGAAACATAATTGCAAATGTATTATAAACATGAGGTAATTATTTTAATACTGCTGAAATAATTTAACTTATATTTACATTTGACCCAATGTTACTAACTGCTTTGTTTCAGGATTACTCACTTATTGGAGCGAGATCATAAGCACATAATCAAAGGCCACTGTAGCCAATGGCTCTAAATATATATACATATATACTGTATACATGGCTGAGTTAATATTTTATAAATTATGAAATCTTGCAGAAATTAAAATATATGAACAACACTATCATGCCCAGGGCTGATTATTACTGCCAGAGTCTTGCAGTCAGGAAGACTGCATAGAAGAGCACATAGTAGTGAATTAACATCTTGAGAGCATAAGCCAGGAGATCATATCAATGGAGTAAGAGAAAAATAGATACCACAAAAGTAAAATAGGATGTAAGAAAAACAGGATCTAAGATTTAAATCAGACTTCTCAAGGGCAACAAAATTGCAATTGTTAAATTTCATCAATGAGAAAGTTATTGAAAAAGTATAACCGTGAATTCTCTTGCCTCTTGTCTATTCCAGATCTTTCTCGATTTCTAATCACATCAGGAAGTCCAATTCTTCCTCTTCTCCCTGCTCTCCAAGTCGCATCCTCATGGGCCAACTCTGCTGGTAGTCCCCAATTTATAACAGTTCATTTAGTGACCCTTCAAAATTACAATGGCACTAAAAAAGTTCACATTTATGACAGTTGACTGTGATCACCTTTTGCGACCTTCTGATAAGCAAAGTTAATGGGGAAGCCATTAACAACCATGTTATTAACTTAACAACTGCAGTGATTCACTTAATAAGAAAAGTCATAAAACAGGGCAAAACTCACTTAAATGTCTCACTTAGCAATGGAAAATGTAGAAACCGGAAGGGTTGTGGTGAGACCGGCTGGAGAAATAGTGGGCTCTGACAAGCCCCGTGAAAATTCAGCCAGACAAACTGCTGTCGGGGGATCTTCAGACCAGAACCATCCTGTAGGGATGGTGAAGAAGTAGAGGTGCCTCGGACGACCAAGAGGAACAGGCAAGTTCCTCAAAAGGTTGGAGGCTGCTCTTTGAACTGGCGGCAGGGGCGGTGGCCATTGAAAAATGACCGCGCTGAAGCTGGGGCAACTGGACTAAGTTGTTTGTGCAGGAGCAGTGTCTGAATGGAGTGCTGGTACGGGTGAGTGATTGGCTAACTCACAGGTAAAAAAGAAAATTTTTAACAACTTTAAAAGGTGTCCCTGAGCAGAAATGAGTGGTTAATTGGCACTTGGGAAAGTTAATGGAGGGAGAAGAACAAAGAGGAGGTTAAAATACTAAAGCCCAAGAAAGAAAATTTTACAACTGGATTTCAAATTGGCTTTGGAGAAATTAAAAATAATAAAAGAAAAAAAAACCCAAGGGAAGGTACTTTTTATGTGGATTAAAATATTTTGACAGTTTTGACATCTGAAGGAAAAGAACAAAGAGGAAGTTAAAATACTAAAGCCCAAGGAGAAAAAAAATATAACTGGATTTAAAATTGAATTTGGAGAAACTAAAAACAACAGCAAAAAAAGAAACCCGAGGAAAAGAACTCTTTATGTGGATTTAAAATATTTTTGACAGCTTGGATACTTAGTTGCTCTGAGAATATTATGGATTTGAGAGAGACATCTGCTGGTGGAAAGTGAGTACTGCAATATTGGTGGGAAGATAGAAGAAAAAACAACAGCTGTGACCGTGATTTAATCTGGAAACTGTGAGAACTTTTAAGGAGTATCTGTTTTTCTGAACTGCTTGGTTTCGACTGTCAACAATTGTGGGAAATAACAAACCTTTAATTTGGAATGGATTGGATAAATATTTGAATTGGATACCATTTGAAATTAAAAAGAGACTATATGGACTTTAGAATTTCAATTAAATATAAAGTAAAAGTGTTAACAATTTTTTAAATTGACAATATGGATTCTTGGATGTGTGAAGAATTAATTGAGATGTTTAAAAATATGCGTGAATCACTAAAGGGTAATAAAAAGTTAGAAATTTTGCTGGAACATACAGAGCAGGAAAAAGAGAGTATAAGTGAGGAGCAAGAAAATAATATTGAAAGAAAAGGAATTGAAAGCAAAAAGCAGTTAGATGATTTAACTGGGATTAACAGTAGCAAAAAAAAGAGTGGATGGGGGGAATATTCCACCAAAAAGAATCAAACAAAGGGAAAAGAAGGAAAGAGTGGAAAGAGACTAGGAGAAAACTTGGGGAAAACTACTCGAGTAATATATTTAAAAGTGAGAAAAAGGATTCAGGAGAAAAGACATGATAAATATAAATATAAAAAGAAAAAGAAGAAGAAGAAGAAGCAATGGAAATTGTGGGTTTAATTGTAGTTGTAAATTGAGGACTATCTGTACACATATATCTTTTCTGTCATAGATCTAGAGTGTGTTCCATGTTTTTTGTGTGCTCCAGGTATTGTAAGCCACGTGGCATGTTCATAACTCTTGAATCTTGGATTAGACTGAAATGTTTCTTGAGCTTCCTCCTCTGATTCAACTTCATTCTTATCAAAGCTAAAAATTTCATGGCCATACACAGCTACAGTGGGAATAGTGATATTTCTGAATCACCTTCTTCTAAGATTTGTCTAAATCAAACTGGTTCATAATAAATGCTAGTTTTTGTTTGATAAAAATGTAATAAATTGTTATATATCTCTCTTGCTGAATTTCTCACAAGAATCAAAATATTTTTTATTACATTTTCAGTTTCCAAGGGAATGGGAGCACTATTATTCCATGTAGCTCTCTATATTAAATCAGCATTTTAATTTAACATTCACCTTGAATTGCAAGCAATTGGAAAGTAAATTAATGGCATGAATGCCATTATTCTTCTTCTCTGAAAATTTTTATACTGAAGCTCTTTCAATACACTGTATTCATCACTTTCGAAAATCTCTGAAGTACAGTAAAGATGACCATCTGTTTCTAATTAAGCAACCCCAAAATAGATTTAGGTGGATACTAAATACATAAGATATCTTATGTTAGCTAGCTTACAATTTCAGGTATGAGTCTAATGTAGTAAGCTTTTATATATATATAAAATGGCAAATATTCCTTTTATATAAACATAAGCTTTTAATGTAAACTAATATAATTTAGGAGACAAATGGAATAAAGGGTGCTTATAAAAACAGAATGTCAATTAACTAAATGGGATTTTACACATATATTTCTTACATACAATATGTTACAAATGTGTAAAATGGAAATGGGTTTATATACATGTGCAGAACTTACAGGATACAGACATTTTATCCACTGCATTCAAAATCTGGTAAACCCAAATCCCTTAAATTAAGAATATATTGTATATAGACACATACAAATGCACAACCACACACCATGACTTAGCTTTTAAAAGACAAATCACTACAAAGGATAATTGTTAAGACTGCAGTCTTTCTGAAAAATCATCTAAACCGAACTGAATACAATGGAGTTTATCTTTTATTAAATATAGATAGGATTCTGCTGCAAATAATCCTAAATATTTGATATATAAAGATATAAATGAGCAAAAAAGAGCTATTGAATGGGCATAAACATTGTAATTAATTGTTCAACCAATCTTATTTTCAGTGGGCTTTTTATTTGTTTTGGTAGTTCCTTGTTCTAGAACAGGAATCTATAACCTTAAACACTCAAAGAGCCATTTGGACCCGTTTCCCACAGAAAAGAAAACACCGGGAGCCACAAAACCCTTCCCATGCCTGACTACTTCTTGAGTGGCCACAAAACTAGCATATGTAGTTGAATTAAACTTTGTTTTATTCTGAAACTTTTCTTTTCTTGGATTTATCCATGGTTGGCCTACCGGGGGGTTGAAAAGCTCAATAAATCGCAAGCTGGCGGGTGTCGCACATTGGCAGTTGTGATGCATATTTTGAGTGACAGGGAGCCACAACAGAGGGGTGAAAGAGCCACATGCAACTCCAGAGCCGCAGATTGCTGACCCCTGTTCTAGAAGGATTGAAACCGATAAGGCAGGAACCAACGCTTTCCGGAAGGGAAAACTGCTATGTCAAAAGAGATCAAGTGCTTCTCAAAGCCAAATAAAAGAATGACAAAATATCTGTTGACTTGGAAAAGCAGGAGGAAGAGGCTTAAAATATGAATCTTGGAACACAGACTTTTATACAGGTTTTATCTTTTGTGTATACCATAGCATGCCGATATTTTGTGTGTACGAAGGACTTTGCTTTAATCTGTAATAAAGAAACGGAATTATACTAAATGCATCAAGTCTGTGTGCCTTTTGCTGAGAAGCTAGATACGAGGTCATCTGGAGAGATTCTGCCACATCTGTGCAAAGCCTGTTAATTGGTTAACAAATAATAAAACAAAATATATTAACATCTTAAATGGTTTTTCACCTCAGATGCATATGAGAAGGAAGAAAGAATAACCAAGAAACCTCTAAATGACACTTTTACTTGGCCAAGTTAAAAGCCCAGAATTTCTAACCTTAAACCAAAACTGTGAGCCCCAGCATAACAAGTTATTCTCCTGGGCAATGTTCTGAGGAAAAATAAAATTATTTGTGATCACATCTCTAAGTAATGAAGGCGATTCTGCACAGTGACAGATATACTGTATGTATACCTTCAATCTGAAAAACCGCAAATATATTCAATTTCCCTAGGTAGCCCACCCAAAATTCTAGAATGTTTCAGTTTGAGGAAAGCAGATATAAATATTGCTTCAGGAAAAAAAAAGACTTTAGTCCTATACATTTTTGTATTGTAATCCCTGAAATTATGTTATAAAAAACAATAGTTGAAAAAACAATAGTTGAAACACAACTTACCTGTTCATAAAGATTCTTTATTGGTTTCCACGGTTTACCATTCAAAAGATAAGGGATGGTTATGCCATAGTATTCTAGTTGTTCTCTTTGAATCCATTGCCTAGGGAATTCCAGTTTACTTTCAACAGTTTCTCCTAGTATAATTTAAAAAAAGATTAAATGTTAGTGAAGGACTGGCACCAGCAGTACAGTAGTACAAACTATTGCTAAGTAAATCTGAAATAATAGCAATAGCAATAACACTTAGACTTATATACCACTTTACAGTACTTTATGGCAGTCTCTAAGCGGTTTACAGAGTCAGTATATTGCCCCCAACAATCTGGGTCCTTATTTTACCGACTTCGCAAGGATGGAAGGCTGAGTCAACCTTGAGCCTGGTGAAATTTGAACTGCTGAACTGGTAGCAGCCAGCAGTCAGCAGAATTAGCCTGCAGTACTGCATTCTAACCACTGTGTCATCACAGCTCTTATAAACATAAACTAATACACAAAAGTTATTAAAATATGTATCAGAATAAGCTTTTATATGTCTTACATTATGTTGTGTTTTATATGTTTTGGTTGCAAGTTGCAGTAATTCCACTTTGAAAGTACAAATAGGGCAAACATATGGGGGGAAATGAAGTGATTCACTTGTGAGAGATAGAACATCAAAGTAACAATCAAAACACCTTTTTTTTGTTATTCTTCTTACCCATTTACTTCTTACATTATGATTTTGGACACAATTTTAGAATACTTCACTACTGTATTTGATAGGGGTTATTTTTAAGTGGCTTATTGTTTGAAGGAGTCCCCAAACCAAGTCCAACTTTACAATGAAGAAGCATTAAGAAATAAGAGTATAGGTACTGATATAGTTCATGATGCCCAGCATATGACAATAATTTTTTCTCCCTTGCTTACAAATGTTCTCACTAAAAAAAATACCTTATGAAATCTTCCCTGCTATACTCCCCCTTATTAATACTTCATGGCTCAAACAAATGCATAAACATGGACAAAATCTAAGGATATTGAACCACCCCTCAAATGTTAGACTATGTCAGCTGATGCAAAATCTGTTTGATATATTGATATCTGAAACACCTTCTCAGAAAATCCAGCATCAATAACCTTCCTTAATCTGTACCCAAAGTAATAACACAAATTATATTATACCTGAAACCAATATTAAAGTGGAAATCAATTTGATTAATTTTCCTTGTGCATTCTGAAACATTGACGCCTCTCTCTCCAAATACAGGTACATAATAGCAAAGTTTAGGATTTTAAACACATGAAGATTTTAGAAGATGGTATCAGTAGCCTTCAAAAGGCCTTTCTTCTGGAATTACAAACTAACAATGTCCACTGCAAATAAAGAAAACCAATATAATTTTCTTTTTTAATTTGATTTATATGCCGCCCTTCTCCGAAGACTCAGGGCGGCTTACAATGTGCTCAGCAATAGCCTTCATCCTTTTGTATATTTATACAAAGTCAGCTTATTGCCCCCACAAACTGGGTCCTCATTTCACCTACCTTAGAAAGGATGGAAGGCTGAGTCAACCTTGAGCCTTGGCGAGATTCGAACCCTGCAGTAATTGCAGGCAGCTGGTCTTAATAAGCTTAATAACAGGGTGCCTTAAACCCTTGTACCACCAAGGCTCTTAAAAATGTTTTATAGATGGCATATGCCCCCTGAGAAACTGGCAAAAATGTTTAAAGATAAATCAGCTAAATGTTGGAAATGTCACCAGTTACCAGGATCTTATTATCATATGTGGTGGACATGTCCAGAAGCTAAAATTAAGACATGGTTGGAGGAAATGATACAACAACATATTGATTTAAAACCACAGCTGTTCCTACTGGGTATCCTTCCAGAGATAATTAGTAAAGAAAATATTTATATGATTATTCATGTAACAACAGCTGCAAAGATTGTTTTTAGACAAAATTGGAAAGCAGAGAAAATACCTTTGGAAGGAGAAGGAATTAAAAAATGTTTAGACTGTGCAGAAATGAATAGATTAACTTTGATGATCAAAGAAAGAGAGGATTTAGAATATTTTAAGATATGGGATCAATTTTACTATTGGTTAGAAAAGAGATATAGATATGCAAACTAATAGTTATGTAAGAAAATGGTATAATTAGAATATTGTACTTTTGGAGAAATGCTGTAATAGATGTGGTGAAAATGAAGACAGAAGAAATAATAAAAAGATGAAGTCATGGAGAAAACACCTAGATGTCGCATGGAAGGAATGACTGATGTATTAAATGTTTGTTTGTGTATAATTTTTTTTTTTTTAAAAAAGGCCTTTCATCTCAGAATAAAGTCTCAAAGAGTTTGGGAAAAGTAAGCGAGCTATATATGGCAGTGAGTTCAAAAAAGAGGGCTTGATTACCAACGGTACACATAAGAGGTATAAAATAGCTGTTTTAAATTCATGATCAGATATCATGGTGAGTAGGATGACTATTTCTCCACCCTTGCAAGAAAAGGAGACCAGGTTTCATAGAAGACTTTTTAAGTATGCAGCAAATATTCTTTATCCTGTCTGATGACAGAAAAGAGAATTCTAATTCACACAATTGAATAGGCAGAAACATTTCAGCCTTGATGACTCTTACTAATTTATATGAAGATTTAAGGTTTAAAAGTAATGTGTCACACATCAGAGTCACCAGGTCATATTTTCCTCTTGATAATCGGGTCTGATTCTTATTGACATGATTAACTGTAACTGGGTGATGCCATTTCAATTCAGAGGGGCTCACATGAACAATATCTAGAAGCCTGATAAAATACTATGAATGGAGCAGGGTGAGTGCAGCATAGGAATCATGCCTCAAATCATACTACAACTATTGCTTTGTATTATACAATAATATAAATAATACTGTACATGCTTCAAAAATGTTTCGGAAGTAATTGTTAGAATCTCTCTTTTCCTAAAGCAACCATATGTTTTTGAGATTTGGGGTGTGTGTGAAAATGTTATACATAAATTCTTATGTTTACGCATGCATATTAGACGAAAGGTTATACCTTGTACAAGAACTAAAAAGGATCAACTATATGTTTACTCAGAAGTAAATCTGATTAGAATTGAATGTGACTTACACCAGGGGTAGGTTCTAAAAAATTTTTACTACCGGCTCTGTGGGTGTGACTTATTTTGTGGGCGTGGCTTGATGGTGATGTGACAATTCTTTAGGATTTAGCAAAGGTACTGGTCTACCAGGCTTTTACCTGCTTGCAGAGCTGTCCTATTACAGGTACAGCTGTATTTGTACCTATTACAGCTGTACAAATAAGCTCTACTTATTTGTTTTTGGAGGCACTGGTCTACCCATTTATTTTTGCAGGCACTGGTCTACCCATTTATTTTTGCAGGCACCAGTCTACTCATTTATTTTTGCAGGCACCAGTCTACTCATTTGTTTTCTTTTAACACTGATCAACTGTAGGGCGGCCCTTTGAAGCCCCACGGCAAAAGTTTAAACAGTTTTTTTTCCCTCTAGCTGATCAGCTGGGACTCAGGAGGCAGCAATAGATTGGGGGTGGGGCCAAATAAAAGGTAAGAATGCAGGGAGAGCGGGGGGGCAGAACCGGTTCGGTGATGTCATATCGTCACTGCTACCGGCTCGGCGGAACTGGGAGGAACCCACCATTGACTTACACCCACGAGAGAATAAGACTTCAATTTCATAATGAAATAGCCAGGTTGGAGTTTATAAAGTTTTCTACTTAAATTTTTATAAGCTGAAGTCAATTCTTTAGAACGTGATATTTTTGTTTAAAATATCTCAGAACTTGAAATAAAATATTCACAAGGGTTAAGAATTGAAGACACTGTGTAGTACTGTAGTATTTCTGCTCCTCCTTCACGGGGCAATTTGTCAGTGATTATGGGCAAAAAGAGATTAGCCAGTCAACCCTCTTTTGTGGGGGGAGGTGCACTGTTCAGTACTCTAGCCTCTATTCTCCAACATACCTACATGAAGCCGCTTAGAAAAGTCAACCATTCAGTTTGGGGTTTAGTATCAACAGTATGTTGATGATACCCAATTATACATTGCTAACCTAGGTCACATAGGAGAGAGTGTCAATGTCTCGACAGTATCTGGAAGCAGATGAATGAAATAAGCTGAAATTGAACCTTAGCTAAATGGAGTTATTGTTTGTCTATCAGAACTTCCTGTTATCACCACTTATGTGTCTTTTTTATTGTTTTTATATCGCAAATTCCATTTCTAAATTGAACAGTGTGTTTTCTAGGTAACAAAAGTATTAAAATTTAAACATCTTCATAGTCATTATGATCATATCAACATAGAAACATATAGTAGATACTATCAATCATTGTTATAAAGTATTCTATCTTCCATATTGACATCAATTATGTGTCCACTTATGTGTCTTGATGGGGTCTCCATTGCCTTAAAGGAACAGGCTTGTGACTTGTAGTCCTCCTAGATCCAGAACTACTGCTAGATGGACAAGTGGAGGTTGTGACCACTGCATCTTTTGCCAGTTTCATCAGATGTACCAATTGCAAACTTAATGGAAGAGGAGGATGTCACAACTCATGCTGTCATCACCACTCACCTGGAATAATGAAATTCTATCAGCACTTAGGATTGCCTTTGAGACAATCAATAAGCTTTTTTGAGGTGAATACAGCAGCCCAAATGTTGGCAGATACTCACTAACTAATGCCCTAGTCACTAATGTCACACCTATGCCCTGAGCATAGCAGAGACAGCAAAAACAAACTGTTTGATTAGAGAAAGATGAATAACTACATTTATTATTGACAGGAAGCGTCTTATAAACCTTTTGTTGAAAATAAGAGAAAATGTGATTTGGGGGTTTGAAGATTAGAAAGGCTACCTTATGGAAAGAAGGAAACTGTGATGTAACTTTAGAAAGAGGAGGTAACATAGAAATGTATCTACAATCATCATCAAGAAGATCAGAGACCACTTCTTTATCCATTTTGGTTTCCTTTTTTTTCTTTTACTTTTCAATTTTTTTACTGTTTACCGTTTTTCTTTGTTATACTTAATTTCTTTTATGGCTTTTATTTCATTATAAATATCTTCAATAAAATTATTTTTTAAAGGGAATTCTTTG